TTTCTTCAAAATTTAACAAGAAAAGCACCAAAAAAATTATTTGTTTGCTCGAGATTATAGCAAAGGTGTGTCTCAGTTGAACTTTTACTTAATAAATGTGCTTTAATGGTCAAATTTGCTGCATTTTGCTGGGGCGGTGCAGCTGTTTTGACGGTTGCTCCAAGCAGCAAGCAGAACAAAGATGGGGGGATTATGGCAAGCCGATTGTGTCATTAATAGCTGGTGAAGATTCTCAGTCATCCAGGACATAGTAAATTCAAAAAATGTCAAGACAAAAACAATAAAGTATAAAGTAAAGTATAATAAATAAAGTCCTGTTGTTTTTGTCTTGAATTTTTTGAATTTGTCATTATAGCCACATTTACCTATTACATGATACAACGGCATGCCTTACTGCTACTAGTACTCTTCTGTCATCTAGTGGCTGAAATAGGCACTGTTCAAATTTTTTCAGTCAGAATGAATGAAAATGGTCATATCTCAGCCAAAAATTGGTTTATAAATATGGGAAAAAAATCCATAAATATGTCGCTTCAGTCGCAGGGCGTATAAATTATGCAAAAAAAACGTGACTTATAGGCCAAAAAATACGGTAAGATTGGACATGACACAAATGGCTGATTGATGGAGGAGCCATGGATTGTTTATTTAAAATAAATTATTTTAAATTATTGTGCATCATGTGTGCAGCCCACAAGTGCAAGGGAAGCTCTCTCCTGCAGCCTGTCATGATCTCCTCTGCCACGCACACACATTTCTTCTGCAGCAGTTTTGTGAAGGATTAACCCTTTGCTGTCCAGATGCACCAATCAACTTTTGTCTTCCAACTTAAAATTCAAAGTATGTCACACTATAAAATCATCAAATCATAATCACAAAATATAAAAGTGTTAAAAGTTATTTATTATTATTTTAGAACTTCTATGTTCAGTTATTTCAGTGTAATTGATCAAAAAGGGCATTTCTGCTCCGTTCTGCAGAGCTGTGTGACATCCCTTTGATGTCCTGCTGCACTTCTCTTCTCTACAATTTAAATTTAAATACCGTAAGTAATATTTTAAATAAGTAATCCATGCTGTATGGATTGTTTATTTAAAATGTTACATTATTTAAATTTAAATTGTTTATTTAAGAGGGAGATTGGGAGTAACAGGTGATGAGTGAGCGTGATTACAGCCTGGCACATGTCAGGACAAAGTTTAGTGAACTTGAACTGAACTTGGACTACTGTATCCCTACCTCGCTGTTTTTCACTTATCGCAATTTGTTTATATGTTCAATACCCCCACCCCCTCTTAAGATACATTGGTGTTTATATGTTCATTGATGTGATTAATCAAAATCAGTTAAATGTGCAGGTTAGTGCTCTTTACTCAGAAAATCCACACGTCACATTTCAGGATCTGGTTATTATAGACACAGATTAAATGTTAAATATGAATATTTCTATATTTATCACCACAGTAACAGTGTTACACACATTAGTAATTGTAAACACGAAAAGTAATGCACATGTTGATTTGGTGTTTACCTTTAGTCTAAACATTTAAGGAGCAAACATTTTTAATAATCACGTTAAAAGTTTCAAATGTTGTTTTTGGAGCCTGTTTGATTTCCAAATATATTAGTGTGTGTGAATGACAGGGATCAAGTTAAAACACTTTGTAGAACGGTTCTTTATGAACCGTTCTGTCCATTTCCTTGTATTAGTTGACCCGCAGTTCCGCCACATCCAATATGGTGGACGCTCCGACGTACCGCTGCAGTGGGCCAGCCTGCTCAACCAGGCGTCTACATATTTATGTTTATGACTAATCCAACGTCAGCTAAAACCAAACTGAACTGCTGCCATCTTAAAACTGTTTTATTCTCGACAAGTCATATCGATGTCTGCTGTAGATGAGGGATGTGTGCATGCGTGCGTGCGTGCGTGCGTGCGTGCGTGCGTGCGTGCGTGTGTGTGTGCATGTGGTGGCAGTCAGCCATCTTGGATTTTGATGTGGCAACCCAATTTTTGCAAGTGACCTTTCTTTACATCTAGATGCAGCCACACACCAAAATGGAAGTTGGTACATCACTTAGTTTTCGAGTTATCACAATCACAACATTCACAACATGCACAATTGGAGGGTGTTTTCCGACTCCTTTTCTTTGCACCATAAAGAAATATAACGTGTAAGCACAACGAGGAGCAGCAGCTGCTAGCAGCAACACTCGTCTTCAGTTTGAGCAATAATTTCCTTATTTTTCCATGAAAGGTAACACTTGACTGCAGCATTAAATTTTAAATAATGTAACTGTTTTTGCATGAAAATTTTTAGCCCTGAAAGACTTAAAAAGAGTGATTTCATTTATTGATAGCAAAATCCACTTTAACTGTCTGACTGTATTGAGAGGCTAATAATGATAAATGGTGAATAATATCTAAAAGGACTTGCCTCCAAAGGAGATAAAACAGCTTTAGTCTTCTAAGATAAATAATGCTTTATTTAAACACTATTATTTTAATTTTTACCTTATCGTCAGTTTCACATTTCAGCAACTTTGACACAAATAACTGCCTTTGACTGTGTTTCATAGATTTCCTTAATAAATTTACTCTAAACTGGTTATCAAAGCTGCCTCTGACTCCACGAGGTCAGATCAAGGCAGAAAACTGGAAATCCCTACATTGGGCAACAATGTTTCCATAAAATCCTGTAATCACTTCCATTGTATGACCAGTTATTTTATTGTTTGGCTATGGGTTCAGTGTTTTCAGTGTCTTTATTCAAAATGAAATGCAGAATTTTACAATTTTTTTCAGGTGGAAAGTTTACCAGCTGGTTAACTTTTAGCCAACTAAGGCTAAACTGTAAAACTCTTAGAGGCAAATCTGTTTATGAAAAAATATATAATTTGCTTGATATGATTACTAGTGTTCACATAGGCATTGCAACAATTTTATGTTAAGGGTACGTGTTCCCCACACATTTAAAAAATATTAATTCAGCCCCCCCCCCCACCACACACACACACATTTATCATGAAACTTGAGTTCCTCCAGGGCTGTTTCTTTGTGAATGAATCCATTCCACTTGATTAATAGGAGAAAACTCAAACCACTAAAAATCCACTCCAAGTTTTCCTGGTTACCTACAACAACTCCACACCACATGCAGTGTTTCTCCTCGGCCATCTGCCTTGGCAGGGCGCTCACGAGGGGAGGAGGGGGAGAGATCTCTGTTTTGCCTGCTAGCTTAGCACCACATAAGAGCTGGCAGTTGTTGACGGGGGTCGGGGTTAGGATGCATGAGAGAAGCGGAGCACTATGTCTGTAGCATTTTAGCTAACATGTCTGTACTGCCCTCCACTAGCTTAGCTCTACGTTAGTTCAGGTAGTTTTCAAAATGGGGTGGGTTGGGGATTGGGGGTGTTAGGATGCATGAGAGAAGCGGGGCATGCTCTATTCAAACAAGGAGAGCTGTTGGTCAGGTTACTTCTTGTTGCCGAATCAAGTGTTTACTTATGTAGGTAAACGTATAACAAAAATACACCAGAATGCAGGAAATGACATCTACTTTATTCAAAATGTTATGGGGGAGGCCCCCAGAACACCCCCCATCACCACTACCAGCAGTGTGTCTCCTCCCCACACATTTCAAATGTTTCTGACACCAATAAGTGTTCGCTTGGTGGATAGAAAAAGGAAACGAATGAAACACAAATTAGGTTAACACCAAAAACAGCTTGATATTTCCCTGCTGAGTGTATGATTTTTTTAAAGTACATTTTTTGTTGTAGCAAAAATGTTAATTAAATCATCCTGGCTGTGTTAGGTCAGGCCACAAGCTGTATTTTATGTTATTGTCCCAAGTCGTGGAGCGAAGAGAGGGGGAACTGGAACTACCCTCTGTCCATCCATCTCTCTGCCCGTCCCTCCATCTGTTCCACCATCCATCCATGTTGAGAGCATGATACCTTTAAACATAAATGAGGTACTGACTTCCATTTTGGTGTGTGGCTATATTTAGGTGTAAGCTTACTGTCAAAAACTGGGTCCCCACATCAAAATCCAAGATGGCTGCCACCGTATATTGTGATGTGGATAACTTCAAAAATAAGCGTTGTGCAAACATCAATTTTAATGTTTGGCTGCATCTAGGCATAAGAAAGGTTACTATCACTACTACCACTTTAAAATCCAACATGGCCACCAATATACATGTATGTGTCTGTGTATAAACTGACCACGCCTATCATTTGAGGAGACTGCTTTCTGGTTTTTTTTATTGCTTAAAAGTGTAGTATCCTCAAATGACTGGGGCAGTACAGTATTTAGGATGGCCGAAGATTAGCCTATGGTGGCCAAGACCACCACTGGCCACCCTCCAGTTCCGACACTGCCTGGACATGAATAAAATAGCTCTCTAGACTCACCATCACTCTGCTGTTCCTGCGACAAGCAAAAAATAAAATTAATAAATAATTAAATAAACCTCTCTTTGTTCTTCTCCACAGTGTAACTCTTTTCCATTTGAATATCTTGCACCAAAAACATTAAGGTTTATTTTACTCCCTGTTAAATTCCAGCCCAGAAAAACACTCACCTTGAAAAAATACAAACATTTTCTATTCAAATCCCTCAGTGCACCGCTTGTTTGTGTTTCTTTATAGTGTAAATTCAGTATCCATGTGTCTTTGTTGTGTCATAAATTTATTTGTGTCTAGCTTTATTTTATTTAATCAGAGTTGAATTACCATAAAGCAGTCTCTGAGGGATGTTCAGCATTATCACAAACTTATTTGTGATAAATACCTGTTTAAATGGGACAGAAGTAATATTTAATCATAGCTCTGACGCTGACTACAGCAAACCAAATCAAAGTTACGTTTAAAGTTTGACTCGTTTCTCTAAAAGTTAAACAAGCTCTGATTTATCAGACTGGATACAAGCTTATACACCTCAGTCCACACACATTGTGTTCAGTAAAAATTCATGGAACAACTCTGTTTTCCAGGACTTTGCCAGTTCAGTATTCCAGTTGGTGAGAGAGAAGTACCGGTCACTGGTGGGGGGCGTCAGTCCAGTTCACGCTCGACACAAATCCCTGGCAGGCATCGTAATGACCAGAGGTACGGCAAATTTCATTGACTTCTATATATGACTTTGAATTATTGAAGTGGTGCAATATAGAGAGAGTGACTCTGTGTGGGGTGAAGGCGGGGGAGGACAAAGATGGAGGTGGGGTAGGGTTCTCAATCGAGAGACAAATTATGAAGGAAGACATAGGTTTCATTCCAGGTTTTTTCTCGGTCCCTGTGCTGCAGAGAAGCTCTCGGTACTGAATTATTGACTATTCAGAGTCTCAGAGGAGAATGAGACACGGTGTCAGTCATCCAAGCTGCATGCTGGACTCGTAGCGCTCAGGTGGCCATGACAGGAGTTCCACACGCCGCAGTGGGAATCCCAACGAGATCAGCTTAATCTAAAACCTGGCTGAGTGGAACAACGAAGAGAAGTAAAGAAAAATAAAGTTTCATGGACATTATTACCCTAAACATTAGTCTTATGTGCTCTATATGACATCTTAGCTCCCACCCACATATATATATGAATGTATACAAGTACAATACATATAAATGTATTCACTCCCCTGAATGGTATTCTTTTACTGCTGTCATAAATCAGCCATCCGTCCATTATATTCCGCTTGTTCCAAAGTCGGGTCGCGGGGGCAGCAGGTTGAGCAGGGAGATCCAGACATCCCTTTCCACAGCCATCCCTACCAGCTCTACTGGGAGGACTCCAAGGTGTTCCCAGGCCAACCGAGAGACATAGGGTGCATTCACACCAGCCCTGTTCATCCATCCATCCATCCATTTTCCTCCGCTTATCCGGGGTCGGGTCGCGGGGGTAGCAGCCTAAGTAGGGAGGCCCAGACTTCCCTCTCCCCAGCCACTTGGGCCAGCTCTTCCGGGGGAATCCCAAGGCGTTCCCAGGCCAGCCGAGAAACGTAGTCCCTCCAGCGTGTCCTGGGTCTTCCCCTGGGCCTCCTTCCGGTGGGACGTGTCCGGAACACCTCACCAGGGAGGCGTCCAGAAGGCATCCTAAACAGATGCCCAAGCCACCTCAACTGGCTCCTCTCGATGTGGAGAAGCAGCGGCTCTACTCCGAGTCCCTCCCGGATGATCGAGCTTCTCACCCTGTCTCTAAGGGAGAGCCCAGACACCCTGCGGAGAAAACTCATTTCGGCCGCTTGTATCCGAGATCTCATTCTTTCGGTCACAACCCAAAGCTCGTGGCCATAGATGAGGGTGGGAACGTAGATCGATCGGTAAATTGAGAGCTTCGCCTTTTGACTCAGCTCTCTCTTCACCACGACAGACCTGTACAGCGCCCGCTTCACTGCAGACGCTGCACCTATCCGCCTATCGATCTCACGCTCCATTTTTCCCTCATTCGTGAACAAGACCCCAAGATACTTGAACTCCTCCACTTGGGGTAGGACCTCCTCCCTGACCCAGAGAGGGCACTCTACCCTTTTCCGGCTCAAGACCATGGCCTCGGATTTGGAGGAACTGATCTTCATCCCGGCCGCATCGCATTCGGCTGCGAACCGCTCCAGCGAAAGCTGTAGATCACGATCTGATGAAGCCAATAAGACCACATCATCTGCAAAAAGCAGAGACGCAATTCTGAGGCCACCAAAACGGATCCCCTCAACACCTTGGCTGCGCCTAGAAATTCTGTCCATAAAAGTTATGAACAGAATCGGTGACAAAGGGCAACCTTGGCGGAGTCCAACTCTCACCGGGAACAAGCCCGACTTACTGCCGGCGATGCGGACCAGGCTCTGACACCGGTCATACAGGGACCTAACAGCCCGTATCAAAGGGCCTGGTACCCCATACTCCCAGAGTACCCCCCACAGGGCCCCCCGAGGGACGCAGTCGAAAGCCTTCTCCAAGTCCACAAAGCACATGTAGACTGGTTGGGCAAACTCCCACGCACCCTCCAGGACCCTGCTGAGAGTGTAGAGCTGGTCCAGTGTTCCACGGCCAGGACGAAAACCGCACTGTTCCTCCTGAATCCGAGGTTCGACTATCCGACGGACCCTCCTCTCCAGAACCCCCGAATAGACCTTACCAGGGAGGCTTAAGAGCGCGATTCCCCTGTAGTTGGAACACACTCTACGGTCCCCCTTTTTGAATAGGGGGACCACCACCCCGGTCTGCCAATCCAGGGGAACTTCCCCCGATGTCCACGCAACATTGCAGAGTCGCGTAAGCCAACACAACCCTACAACATCCAGAGCCTTAAGGAACTCTGGGCGGATCTCATCCACCCCTGGGGCCCTGCCACCGAGGAGCTTTTTAACCACCTCGGTGACCTCAGCACCAGAGATTGGAGGGCCCGACCCAGAGTCCCCAGGCTCCGCTTCCTCAGTGGAAGACGTGCCGGTGGGATTGAGGAGGTCTTCAAAGTATTCCGCCCACCGACCCACAACATCCCGAGTTGAGGTCAGCAGCAAACCACTCCCACTATAAACAGTGTTGGTGGCATACCGCTTCCCCCCCCTGAGACGCCGGATGGTGGACCAGAAACGTCTCGAAGCCGTACGGAAGTCGTTCTCCATGGCCTCTCCGAACTCCTCCCATGCCCGAGTTTTTGCCTCAGCAACCACCCGAGCCGCATGTCGCTTGGACTGCCGGTACCCATCAGCTGCTTCCGGGGTCCCACAGGCCAAAAAGGCCCGATAGGACTCCTTCTTCAGCCTGACAGCATCCCTCACCGACGGTGTCCACCATCGGGTTCGAGGGTTGCCGCCCCGACAGGCACCGACAACCTTGCGGCCGCAGCTCTGGTAAGCCGCCTCGACAATAGAGGCACGAAACATGGTCCACTCGGACTCAATGTCCCCCACCTCCCTTGGAACATGTTCAAAGTTCTCCCGGAGGTGGGAGTTGAAACTCCGTCTCACAGGAGACTCTGCCAGACGTTCCCAGCAAACCCTCACAATACGTTTGGGCCTACCAGGTCTGACCGGCATCCTCCCCCACCATCGGAGCCAACTCACCACCAGGTAGCCCTGTTCAGTCGGCTTTAATTGAACTCTAGCTCGTTTTCCTAGAAAGTCTGGTTCGTTTGGGGGGGGGGGGGTGAACGCGCCATTGAACTCTGTCACGGAACAAAAAGGCGAACTCTGGCCCGGGCTAAAACCTAGGTCTCGGTCCGGTAGAAGAGAACTCCAGCATGGTTCGAGTACAGTGTGAATGTAAACAGACCAGGCCCCTCTACAAGCAAGAAGTGGAGTACAACGCAGGGCAAACAAACACGCATTTCTCTGACCTTATATGGAGCCATCAGCTGCCTTGTGTGAAAAACAATATTCTCCATGGTCTTCTGCCTCATCTTCTGCTCATGCTGTGTCCATTTTTGAAAAATGACAAAATATAACTCCTAAAACTGCTAAAACTTGATGCCACTCCACTTTTGTTTTTATTTTCAGAAGAAGAAGAAGTGTCTTCAGAGGTTTTTGTGTTGCTTCTTTCAGTAGTTCTTGGTGCAGCGCCCCTACAGGCGAGCGGGGGAATAGATTGGTTCAACAGGTTGACTCGACTGCACAGTGCAGTGTGAATGCAAATGCACCAGCTCAAATGTAAACAAAATGTCATGAATATTGGTCCCCATCCGAACCAAGTCTACCGGACTATCAGGTGTGAAAACAACCATAGTCTCTCCAGCGTGTCCTGGGTCTTCCCCGGGGTCTCCTCCCAGTTGGACATGCCTGAAACACCTCCCTAGGGAGGCGCCCAGGGGGCATCCTTACCAGACGCCCGAACCACCTCAACTGGCTCCTCTCGACGTGGAGGAGCAGCGGTTCTACTCTTAGTCTCTCCTGATAACTGAACTTCTCACCCTGTCTCTAAGGGAGAGTCCAGCTACCCTGCAGAGAAAACTCATTTCAACCGCCTGTATCCACAATCTCTTTCTTTCAGTCACTACCCAGAGCTTGTGACCATAGGTGAGGGTAGGAACATAGACCGACCAGTAAACAGAGAGCTTTGCCTTGCAGCTCAGCTCTCTTTTCACCACAACAGACCGGTACAGAGTCCGCAATACTGCAGACGCTGCACCAATCCCTCTGTTAATCTGTAAAGTAAGAGATTGCATAAATATTCATGCCCTTTAAAGTGGCTGCCCTAATTCAAGTCAACGGTGAAAGGTAGAGATTAGAGAGAGAGGGGTCACTAAGACACCTGTTACAAGCTTCAGCTACAAGCGGCTGTGGCTGAGTGGTTAGAGCAGTCATCCTCCAATGCAAGAGTTGGGGGTTCGAATCCACCAGCAGTCACATGCCAAAGTGTCCCTGGGCAAGACACTGAACCGTCATTGCCTCTGATGTGTGTCCCATCGGTGTATGAATGTGATAAAGCTCTGATTAATCTCTTTAGAATGATTTGTTCAATTAGCTTTGTAGAGATCTAGTAGAGTGCTGTATGAATGGGTAAATGAGGACACAGATTGTATTGTAAAGTGTTTTAAGTAACTTGATAACATAGAAAGGTGCTATATAAGTACAGTCCATTTACCATTTACACATGTCCCATGGTCTTTCCATTTCTTCATGATGATTTAACAGAATGGCTGTGGATGTTTAGGGCATTGCAAATTATTTTGTATCCATCCTGACTTGTACTTTTAAACTAGAAAGTTCCTGGAGAAACTTTGGCGAGGACTGCCATGTTGTGGCCATTTTAACATTTTGACTTGACAGTACTATGTGCTAGGGTTTGCTCTCAACTATCACTATAACAAGTTTCAGCTCAGTGTGGCAAAAAAAAAAATCAAGGAGTTACGTTTTATTTATTTATTTATTTTTTTAGCTAAGGCAGCCATCTTGGATTTTTGATTTGAATTCATTATGTGATGGGGAACATTCTCATCTATAACCTCACCAAATGGCAGCTCTGTATGTGTAAAAATAGCTGAGTTAAAGCCATTTAATGTAGCTTTGGTGGCCATTTTGGATTTTTTTATTTGAATTCAGTATTTACTGACATTGGTCTCAGCTACCACCACACCAAATGTCAGCTTAATATCACTAAAAATGGCTGATTTATAGTATTTTTCCTTGTTAGCGTAAGCAGCCATCTTGGATTTTTGATTTGTAGTCAGAGTCTGTTAGGGATTGTTCTCAGCTACCAGTACATCAAATGTCAGCTAAATAGCTATAAAAACCTTAAATTATATCCATTTGAAATTGGCTTTGGTGGCCATCTTGAATTTTTAGATTAGAATTCAGTATTTGTGGGGCATTCCTCTCACCTACCACCAACACCAAATTTCTGCTCAATATCTTTTAAAATAGCTGATTTATCTTCTTTTTTTTTTTTTTTTCATTTTAGCTAAGGTGAACATCTTGGATTTTAAATTTGCAGCAGGGATTTATAGCAACTCGCTATCAGCTACGACCAAATTTCAGCTCAACATCTCAAACATTGACTGAGTTATAGCCAATTTTGAGATTTTTGAGGTAGTTGTGGCAGCCATCTTGAACCAAAATGGCTCCAAAAGTTACTCAGTGTTTTGTTCAGAGACCTTTTCACAGGTCATGTGACCTCACTGTGAAAGTTAGAAGCTGTGAAGAGTTCTATCAGTGTTTTTAATTCAAAAAATGGCATCTTTGTTTGCAAATTACTTCTCCATGGTAGTTCAGAACTTCAATGAAAGTAACAGCACACATCCACGGTGCCGAGCCGGTTGTTTTGATATAACATTCGTGGGGGTACATGTTGCGGTTCGGGCCACATTAAAGTTGATAGAAGAGCAAGACCCTTTTCAGGTGGATAATAATAGGGGGCTGCCTCGAAAGGCAGTCCACAATAATCTTTTTTTCTGGGTGGAACTAAGATTTAAGTTAGTCACTTTAAAGAAAGTAAATAAGTTTTAGATACGCTACAGACGCTCATCTTCTGTCACACCTAGAGAATTCAAATTTGCAAAGTAATTCTAGTTCTCATTTTTCAATTTTTTTCATTTTATTATATGTATTTTGAGTAGACGAAACTTTAAATTACTTTTCATGTGAATGCACACAAAGGCTAAAGAAGAAAACTGTCGTAGTACCCGTTACTTTTTCAGCCACTGGGGCTGCAATTGTTGTAGACTTGTTGGCAAACTGAGGTAGTCTCCAAAATGTCTCAGAACATTTGCAGCATTTCTTATTTTCATTGCATGACTTACAGAGCTAGAATACAGTTTTACAAGTCATGCATGTGAAAAAGGTTGTGATGTTTAAAATCTGGCCACGCAAACATGACAACAACAACAACAACAACATGCTCCTTGCATGCTTCAAATAACTCAGACTGCAATTAGCCTATTTTTCATTCCTTTTTCTTTTTGTTTTGTTCCCAAAAGGTCTCCAGCATTCACAGTTCAATGAGATACTACCTCTGTAGTGGTTTAAGGAAACAACATGAAAAAATCCAAAGGATATTGTAGCAATCTGTTTATATGGTGTCATTTAAATGGAGATAAAGTTCTTTACGTCGATATTAGAAGCTTTGTGCAGCAAGGTGGTAGTAGTATGACTAGAAAGTTCCTACAGGAACTTTTACGGGGACTGCCACATGGCGGCCATTTTAAAATTTAGATGACAAAAATGCCTAAGTTTTGATATATGTGTGTCTCTTGAAAGATGTGGTGGTAGGAAGAGTTTGTCGATGACATACTTGAGGCCTCTCCACTCTAGGTCATGTGACCACACTGTGTCAGTTAGAGGCTGTGAAGAGATTAGTCAGTGTTTTTCAATGAGAAAAATGTAGTCTTTATTTGCAAATTACGTTGCCATGGTAACTCAAAATACCAACAAACGTAATAGCACACATCACGGTGCCAAGCTGATCATTTTGATATGGAATTTGTGGGAGTACATGTTACAGGTCGGCCCGCATTAAAGTTGATGGAAGAGCAAGACCCTTTTCATGTGGATAATGAGAGGTGGCTGCCTTACAAGGTGGTCCCCAATTAAGGTCTTGTTGTGCTTTTCCATAGCCCCTCTTCAGCCCAGTTCGACTTGGTTCAGCTCAGCTCAGTTCGATCCATGTTGCATTTCCATATGCACGTTCAGTACCGGTTCTGTAGGCGAGGTCCAGAATCCAACTCGCCTTACCAGCTGGTGGCGGTAGTGCGCCCTTAAGCTTTTTACTTGCCACCAATAAACGCATTAAGAAGAAGACCCCAAAAAGATACACAACCAGAATGGAGGATCTCATTGCTTTATTTAACATTCTGCTCAGTCTGTGACTTTTTATCAAATGTCAAAGAGATGATGGAAAATCTGGAGTTAGCTCATAATCATGACTTAAACTTGAAACAGGTTTCAGTACAGAGTGAGAATTTATTTGGAAGTTTCGGGTAAATTAAAAAGAATACTGATTATTAAAATGATCAAATTAAATTAAATTAAAT